CAAACGATTCTGAACTAAATTTCTGGTTAATCTAAATCTAAACACTGTTCAGATGAGAGGGCTCCTTATGCCCTGGAGCTTCATCTGACACCACCACAAACTTTGGTTCTCTTTCCTCATTGCTCTACTACAATTATTTACGATTGCTATGATTTGTTCTTTGACAAACTCATTATTTAGATAAAGTTCTTTAGTCTCCACTTAGGTCTTTTTCCTACGCACCCATTTCCCTTACTGATTATGAATTTTATTGTTATTTGTCAGATGTTCTTCTGCATTTCTTTATGAGTTCTTTCTGCCTGAGCAGTGACCAGTTTTGGTTCAGAAGCTATGTGATGCTGAGAGAGAAATTCTATAGAATTCCCATTCATAAGTCACCAAATGTCTAGCATAGCTAGCATTTCTTCCATTTGGCCTTCTCTTCAACAGGCCTGGGAGAAGCACATGGAATTCCTCACCTGTTATCATCTTATCTTTGTGTGTTCCTGCAATCCAGTCCTTAGGCCTGGCTACTTGCTGCATATCAGTTGATGCCGACACAGTTTCCTTATCAGTGATTGCTTTGGGTATCATGGAGTCTCCTTGACCAAGATTGCCCTGTCTGAGATCCCGATTGCCACTCCTGCCTTTCGGGATTTAACTGAGTCACAATAAATCATACCCCAACACCTTGTTTTAACTTGGTGTGATTATTATATTTGTGTGTGTATGTGTGTATGTATATGTATAGTGTGTGTGTGTGCGTGTGCACATGCACATATGTCTTTTACATAGTAGATTGTTGGATTTTGTCTAATATCTTTTGCCACCCTCTTTCCTTTTAAGAATGTTTATTCTGTTCATATCTATAGTTACAATTATGTTTGTTTTTCTTTCCATTAAATTCAGTTATAATATATATATTTTTAAAATCAATACTAGGGATTTGTATTGCTTTAAACAATCTGACCCCAGGGCCCTCCTGCTTCTCCCCTCCCCTCTCAGCTTAGACACAAATTACTGATCTGGCCTCCCTTCTCTCTCTCTTTTTTGTTTAGGTAATCAACCCATGTGTATTCAGAGCATCATAGATTTAGAGTGGGAAGGGAGTCCAAAGCACAACCTCCTGATTTTACAGAAAAGGAAACGGAGCCGACAGAAGTGAAATGACTTGCTCAAGGTTACACAGCTAATCAGTGGCAGAATGAGGATTTGAACCCAGGTCTGCTGACTCCAAATACTGGGCCCTTTTCCCCA